AGTTGACTCCACGATTGTGTCCTGTTCGAACCGTCCCCAACTTCTGCCTTGATGTTGGGTCCTGCGACGTCGGCCGAAATTGGACCCGGCGCGTTGGGCGCAACCATTGGTAAGTAAAAGCGCCGATTCGCAATGCGTACGACAGTACGTGTACAGTGGCATCCGCTGCCTCTCGGGTCCTAGGATGCCGTTCGATTGTAGCCCAAAAGCATAGTCGAATAAACTTAGATTCAGCGTCATGCAGTAATGTGAGCCAATTGAGGCTCCGCGGGTGAGGCGTCGCGTTGCTTTTCCTCTTCCTCGGCAGCGAAAAAGAATGCGAAGGTGGGTTGCCGCATGTGAAAAGAAAAACTGCGTCGTAGGAGGCGCGCAGCGGAGCGCCAACATGGAGTGCAGGGGATGAGCAGTCAAACGGCATTTTCCAGCTACCTTGATATCAACGCAATGGGCATATGTAACGGTTTTCACCGCGATCGATCATGTTTGGCTTGGAAAGGGGAGGATTCGGTGGGCGAGAAGACAGCCAGGTGCTTGAAGCGCACACCCCTCTTTCCCTTACTCGGCATATGTGATGCGCAGCCGACAGCTCTTCGCACGTACGCCTCACCCACTTTTGATAGGAGATCAGCATGATGTCGCCTTAACAGCGTGTAGGGCTGTCTATGAGTCGAATCTGGTATGATTGACAAGATGTCTGACAAGTTGAGGGTATCGAACATCTAGGCAGTACCGAAGCATACTAACCCCTTGGCGTCGCGTGGTGCCCAGCTCATGGGGTCGCCTACGAATCGTAAGATGTGGAGAAGAGATCCGCTCTGTTTCCACAACACCATACCCTTTTGTGACACTACGCTGTCGACGATCCTTATGTCGCAGAGGCTAAGTCCCTCCTCATCGGTATCATCCTCAGGCTCAGATCCTTCAGTGCGGGAAAGGAGGACCGAATAAACCCTGCTCCGCGGGGTGGGAAAAACAAAGGAAAATTTTAGTAAAAACAACAGCATGTTAACGACACTGTTGTGCAGTCCATTCCGTGCTTCATCTATGTGAGGGAGCAAGCGACGAATATACAGCTCTTCCCGTGCGAACTCTCGGCTACAGGCCGTTGGTAATCTCCATAGCAAGTTTCAGCGAGGAAAGGCCGGCCTCGGGTCATCGCGGCTCACCCATACCTCAAGATCCGGTCTAAAGGCTACCCGCGGACGTCTTAGGGCCACAGTTATTCTGCTCACCAATTTCTAGCGAAGGTTGATCTTACCTATTTTCCAGCGTTCCCACCTCTTGACCTACCTCGGCGACTCGAAGTGTTATCGAGCAGCTGCGCACGTATTGTCGATGACCGATCTGCAGATTTTCAGGGAGTTTTGCTTCTCTGTATTTGTTTGCAATGAGGCTGCGAGCCCGTCAGCAGTCAGCAGATCAGGTTGCGACGTTGTGAGATCGGCTAGACGACTGCGACGGAGGAGGTAGCGTCCTGTCACCTTCAATGGGCCAGCACTAGGAAGCCGGCCCGGGCCTGAGCCAACCAAGTTCTGTTGTGGTTGGACACTTGGGGGCTCCTTTTTAGACGGTTCGCGACAATGTACCGCCAAAACCAAAGCTCCATACTACAGCGACGTAAGAGATGAAAGTGCGTAGTATATGCGTACAGACATGGGGCTCATCTCTACATTCGATCCGTGCATACTTAGCTGCATCTAGCAGGCACGAAGGATGATCATGGTTTTGTGTGCACAGATTTTTACGCTTCGCTTACAAGTTTCCGCGAATGAGAGTCTCCCATCTCCTGTACGACATCGCCCCGTCCACGCCACGTTCCTGCATATGTGCATCCCTCCGGTATTCGACTGATCCCCCCGAATCCACAGCATCCTTCTCCGTTCGGTGGGAGTCCCGAGAAGGAATCACATCCACGATCCCTTAGCCCTGATGCAATTCTACGATCTTTCCATCAGGGATGATGGCAGGCGAAGGAGCCACCTGCATCGAGATGAAACATTGCATCCGGCAAACATGGTTGGTGGCACCATATACGCCATTGCAAAACGTACGAACCACGAACGGTTCAAGGGCATCCCGTACATAATCATCGCACGGAAATGACAGTTGAAGTTGAACAACTTCTCCAATATGCCTCACGGACGGACTGATTACTACACCTCATGGACTGGGTTCCTTGCAGATCCCGGAAAGACCGGAACATCGCAAGGAACGTGTTGAGACCGATCTCACACACTTGGTGGCTCTCGCGTTTTCGACTCAGGGCCATGCCGAAGGTTTTCTGACAGGGCTGCAGACCCTGGCACCCGCGGAGCTATTGGCGAATGTCACTTGTTCAGTGGGTGTACGGAAAGTGGGGACGTGCATAAGCGCGGTTAAAGGTACAGCCACCATCGATGCGCATACCACCAATTTCGTTCAGAGACCCTGAGCAGATTGTGAAATACTCCATGCTTCCCGCAAAAGACGCCTGATTCACCTTATTTGGTCATCTTCAGGCCTACACTATCATATCATGGCTGGATCATTATCTGATAACCCAAGGGGCAGGCAAGCCGTTGAGATCTCTACGGTGTTCACTGGTTTGGCCTTCATAGTCGTCTGCCTTCGACTATACACACGGTTCTTCCTAATTCGCTGCGTGGGGATCGAGGATGCCGGCATAGCACTTGCGATGGTAAGTAACTTCCACGTCACGTTGTGTAGACTCTTGCTAATCTTCTATTAGCTTTGCTCTATAGGCTTGACCATCTGCATCGGTGTCCGTCAGTATTCCCCTTACATCCAACCACAGCTCTTTATGGAGGCTAACATTCTGTAGAGGCCAAAAATGGTATGGGCAGGCATACCGACACTATCAATGATGGTGATATGACCACGTTCCTAAGAGTACGCAACACTCATCACTCACCCTGAATCTCCACTAACACCAAGCGATAGGCTTTCTGGGCCAGTCTTATCGTGTATTATCTGTCACTCGGCTTGACCAAGGGATCGATGCTTCTCCAGTACCGACGCATCTTCCCGACCAAGTCTTTCCAAGTCGCAAACTGGATTACAATGGCTGTTGTCATCAGCTACACTATCTGGACGGTCTTCTCCAGTATCTTCATGTGTGTACCCGTGCGAGCTTTCTGGACACATGAGAAGGCTACCTGCCTTAATCAATTCGCCGTCTGGTTCACCAACGCCGCCATCAATATCATCACGGATTTCGCAATCATTCTCCTCCCTATACCAGTCATCCGGAAGCTCAACTTGGGCAAAAGGCAAAAGATTGGACTCATCTCGATCTTTGCGATCGGTGGATTGTAAGTACCCCTCACTCGTATCACCTTGTTTCCATCGGGCCTTTGTGCAAGTGGTTGCACATGTGTTTCATCGTGTAACCACAAATGGCTTGGTTATCGCCTTGTACCTTGTTGTGTTCCCGGCTCTTCTCGCGGTCGGTTGGGCAGCAGATCTACCCCTGCTTTCAGCTGTTACAAAGAAGTCACACTAACGCGCAACCTTGCAGTGTTTGCCTGGTATCCATTCTGCGTCTACAGTCCCTTGTAGCAATCTCAAACTCCGCCGATCCAAGCTACGACAATCCCCCCGCAGCGACTTGGAGTTCAGTGGAATCCAATGTTGGCATCATTTGCGCCTGCTTGCCGTTGCTTAGGCCATTAATCACCAAATGGCTTCCAAGAGCCTTCCCGTCAAGACACCGCAGCATATATTCGCACTCTCGACCTCAGAATCGAACATACGGCAGCAGGGGTGGCAGCAAAGCGCTACGCACCAAGGACGACTACGTTCTAGACGTAACAAAGCGCTCGAACGGCTCGAGCGAGGAAGGGCGAGACATCCAAGTCGTGACCGACATCCACGTAGAAGTTGACGGTGCCGATGGAAGGAGAATAAGTGGCTGGAGAACGCCTGCATCGCAGAACAACTGGTCGGACAATGTTTCCAGCAAGGAAACCCAACGGGAGAACAGCACTGAGTCGCTGGTCAATCAACACGTGCGGGTGTCCTCACGGTAGATTTTAGATCTTTCTTATGTTCTCTCCACACCCTTTGATCACAGTTTCGTAACGATACCCCATGACCTACATCTTATTAATAGAGAGTGTTTCGACTCTTGTCAGCACCCACAATCATTTCAAGTAGCATTTCATTGCGTAATTGCTCATTGTTTATTTGCCTTCAACAACGTGATGGTGCATCACGCTTCCAAGATAAATCAAACGTTGGACACTACTTGTAGCAGCATCGTCCAACGTCCTTTTCCTGAATCTCGATCGAATGACTTTAATAATATGATTACTAGAGCCTCAGATATGCAGCTTAGACCTTATCAAAGGACATGACTCAAATGTCCCCACGGTGTCTTGCCAAGAGTTATCCCCGCTGGGGATTCTGGCGGTGCAACATTGGGATTCTGTGGCGTAGGTTACGGCCCTCGAGGGCTACCTGACCGCCGCTCAAGACACCTTTAGCGAACCCAATACTTCGTCAACCGCTCTGCTGCGAGTTCATATATACATTTGGCATCAACAAGTAGCTCATCGCCATGCTCGAGCACCACCTCACTATGGCTGAGCTAACGAGCAACACTGAATTCACCGTAGTGAAGAATGCTCAGCGAGCTACAAGAAGTACAGTATCTTCTTCAAACCACCTGCTAAGTCAGGCGATCGGAAGATCTGTGAATTAGAGCATACTTCTGTTGCGACGATTCACGTGCATTCACTTGCGCGTCTGACTAGTACGACGCAACACTGCTAGCGCAAATGATTGCCTCCTGTCATTGTATAGAGGCTCGTTCAAGCTCTCTATTTGCTGACCCAACACCACCCACTCAACTTGGCCTCAACTTTCGGTAGCTGTGAACTGGCATACCCAATAGTTGAATCCAACCACGACCGCTCTCGAACGTCAGCACATCCGCTACCTGTATAGTAGCTCCCGCTTCTACTGGTACAAACACAACCGCAGCAATCGTTATGGCACCGATGGCTGCGGTCACACGCAATGAGATTCGCCAACTGCTCCACCAAGGTCAGTGACTTCCCTTGTTACCTAGACAAATCTCCTGACACCTCCCAGTCCACGCATGCAGGACGCAGTCAACTCCATTTCTTCCGGCACGTCTGCATGGGGCGAAATCACATATTCGTCCGCAGCGCCAAGCACGACGTCCATGACACTGCGCCGCTCGTCTTCAGCCTGCGACTTGTCGGAGATGCCAACGTTCGATACCGCCAAGACTTACACTGTAAGCCCAACACTTTTCGGATTCCAGCTCACCATCTCCTACGGCATTACCAAGGTTCCGCAGTGGCTTCATGACTCTACCGGCCGTAATATTCAGTCAATACCTGTCTCATCTGCCTCCGGAACCAACGCGGCTGTTGAGCTCTCGCCTGTCAAGGTGAGCGTCGTCATGCTCATCGTTACTTTTGTAACTCTGTGGCTCGCTCAGTTTATCTCCGAAGACCTCTCAAGCTATGATACAGCAAGCCTATTGCTTTGGCTAGTGTTTGGCGGTTATGAGCAGCCAAGGCCCGATGAGATGCTGATTTTAAAACCGCTTGAGTCGCCATACGCCACCACACCTGAACATCTTCAAGAAATTGGTTCTCCAGTCATCGTCATCACTCCTCCAGAAGACACTCGACCCGTTGTTGATCATGACGCCAAGCTTATCACGGTCGTCGAGACCATCAACTTTCCGGAAGTGACTTCGGATATCGTCGAGCTATATACCCCTCGGATGCAAGTTTGGCTGAAGGAGTCGACCCTCGACTTCGTTCCCGAGCGAGACGTCACTTCTGTGGATGGTATCGCAGATTCACCGAGTCAAATCACACCCTCCGAAGGCGTCGTCCAGGCGTCACAATTGGTCGTCCATAGTAATGACACTAATGATCTTCTCGCCTCACCGATGGTTTGGGATGAACAAGAAGCATTTCTTAGTTCTTTGAATGAACTTCCTGACCTCGCCACTGATACTCTCGGTCTTCAGCTAGCAGCCGTCCTCCTCGAGCATGACTTCCCCACCTTCAGGATCAGTGAGTATTTCTGCGCATCGAACGACGCTTGTCAAGTCGGGCCTGTTTATTTGCCTGGTTCTGAACAAGGTACTGAGTTGATGTCTTGGCCAGATCGTCCTGTGGCAGCAGATAGGTTTGACATCGACTACATGCGCGATCGGCTCCAGAAGTATCTTCCAAGACGGACAATCGACAAGATCGCTTCCATGCAGTCGGAATACTGGTACAGAACCCGAGATCAAAGCGGCTTCAACGTATTCGTTCGTGATCTGGAAATAGAATGGCTTAGGCTGGCCAATAACGGACCTTCCAGTTACAACCTTGAATATATCAAGCTCATCACTGGACAGTCCCAGAAGCGATACACGCCTGAGTGTCCGCCCCACTGGCGTTTCCAGTACTCACCTAACGACTCGGCCAGGCCATATCTCGATTTCGAAGAGGAGTTTGCCATCAATGAAGGCATTGCTGATTACAACTTCAATTGTAGAACAGAAGAGGTGGTTGGCAGAGTACAGAATACCCTGCGAACAAACGAACAATTTCGAAAGGTAGACTATGGCAGCAAGCCCATCCTGCAATGGATCAGCAACGTCGAAGAGAAGTTGTTAGTCGATCCACATGTCTACGGACGGTGCAAGTGTGGCGAGGCCGCCATGGAACCTGTACGATGGTATCGTCGACAGGATGAGAGCCACTACAATCCGAAGAAGCAGCAGTCCTTCAAGAAGTTCCCTCTTCGTCAGATGTCTAAAGACGAGTCCGACGATCGCTACGTTTGCGATGTTGAACAGCGAACGGCATATCCCCGGAGCCAGCAGATCACGCAAATCTGCAAGCAGCACAGGACCGTTACGGATAGCATCTTCGTTCTCGTTGACACTTCTGTCGAAGACATCAACGATCGGCTCAGCAACCCAGGTAGCATGCTTCCCGCCCCTGGCAGGAGACATTCGTCAATCTACCCCGACGGCTGGCATGTCAAGAAACATGCCGTACAGCCTCCATTCGAGCAGCGTCCTCCCCGCTGTCGGCACGGGTTCCTTCACAGTATTTCCTGTTCCGAGTGCTTTCCACGCCATCATTTCGCTCATAAGTGCCAGGAGTGCATCGAGTACTGCTTTGCTATGAACGTAAAACGCCCCAACATAGTGGTGCTCGACGCAGCTGTGGAGGCTACACAAGGCCACCAGAACTTCGACCTAGCACGGGATGCCCAGACTAGGCACCGGAAAAATCTGCTCGATATCTTTAAGGGAGCCAAAACTCCTCAACACTCTCTTACATCTCCTTCTCCTGCTGTTACACCATCGGCTGGACGGAGGCGTGAGTAATAAATTCACTCAGGAATTGATTCCAGCCCTCTGCTCGCCACCGTAGCCAAGCTTTCTCGCTCTTAGGCGTATGAATCTTATAGTATTCTTTGATAGCCACTTGACATTGTTGTTTGGGTTTTTGAACAGTTCGCTGTGGTAACCGATCCCTCGTGAGGATTTACCTTGGCGGTCCTTCCTGGGGATAGTCCTTGGCGTTCCAATAAAGCTAAGGCAGCAAAAGGAACTTAACATGCCGTTGAGATATCGTTGCTAAGTCAACCGAGGATAAGGACTGGAATTAGGTGATGGTTACGAGCTACAAGCTACCATAGTTGGATGTTGGCGCTAATAGGCGGTAGAAGAATTTGTTGTACTCTTTCATGTCATATCTGGCGCTTGAGGCTCTCTGGAGTCTTCAGACTCGCGGACACTACAACCTTGTATTTGTTAGCAGTGCAAGGACGCTTTGCCCAACTCATCGCTCCTTCGAGCTTCAATGAAATCATGTTCAAAGCCCTTCCCCAACTGCGTGCAGGTGGTTCGTCTAGAATACGATCGAGCGTCGATGCGCGACCCTTTGAGAGGCCTGTTTGCCGGAGCGCCCTACGGGAGGAGCAAGCCGTTCGAGACTTTGTGACTTTGGTTCGGCCAAAAAGATACGCCGAGTACCGATTGATGGAATCACCGCATCCACCCGTCGGCGGGGCTGACTTTATGCGCCGTCCTCGAAATGGAGATAAACATCACCTGCTAGCCGACCAGGTGTGATCCAAGGATGGCCCACAGTCGGTGAGGCTCCACGGTTACATCTCCCAAAGTCAGCAGGCAGGTATTCCAACCTGAAATAGATAGTAACGGCAAGAACTTCCAGTATCGGAGATGCGCATTGATGTATAGCTAGGCTGAAGAGAGCTGTCGCTACGATAATACGGTGCTCGGGTTGCCGTTCGGCGCGAACGAAACGTGTTGGTTGAATGCCGTGGATCATCGGCTATACCAGGCAATATGACGCAAGTACCCAAATTGCTGAGTGGTATACGACCCTGTTCGTTACATTTCCTGTCGTGTCAGTTCAATCACATAGGCGCCGGCGTGGAGATGGGAGGGTTGGTGTCGGTGTTTATCAGGCAGGTTGACCGTGTCACTAGCCACAATGAGCCACACGATGACGTGTCTGGATCGCGCTAAATGCCGCCTTAGCCACAGGTTAAGCATTCTCCGCAAAGCTTGACACACCAATGCTTCTCCACTCTCAACATGGGTGAAAGCTTTGATGTTTACTGACATACTTTCACGCCTGCTTTTTTCAACAGATGCGTTCACAACACATGCGCGACGCCATTGCTACACCAGTAGAAAAAGAGCAGTGTACTGCAATTGCACCTACATTCGCGAGCATCTGGACAGTCCGCTAGTCTTGAGGCTTCAATTCTATACCTTGATGCTGCTCATGGTGTACTGCATGCCTGGATCGGTCCGGCACCAAGTCCATATCGCGCGGGCGGCATGGCCGGCCCTCGGGAATAGCGGATCAGACTACCAAGTATGAGCAAGCTGACGCGTTCACACCGGGAGCTCAAAGACGGATACACACTGTCACTGTTCCCATCTCTTCCGAATCACGAAGAACATCTATGCTTCGAGGCTCAGAGTCACAATGCCAGTGCTACTGGACGCCTTTCCGAGTTACCAATGATGCAAGACTGAGAGCATCGTTCTGTCACCATCGTCACGATCAACAAGATGGACTCCCTCCAACATCCGAACAAATCAAACCCTAGTCTACACAATCGTGGCCAGCCTCATGCTCCGCAGCCAATCCTCGATCGACTTCCAGTCACTAGCCCCACCGGCAGTTGGTGAACATACCCGGGAGCGCCACACCCCTGACTAAAGGATAAATTGATATAGCCGAATCTGGCAAGTTTGATCGAGTATCCCATGCATGTTAGCGTTCAACGCCGCATGCATGCCAGGATTGTGTACCTCTCACTTTACTGTTCTCGATAGTCATGATGTCGCTTCGAATTACGTATGCTCGGTGGAGTAGGTCGGGAAAACCATGGAGTAGTGTCGCTGTTGTTTTGTCCGGCTGTGTATAAAGACGATGGCGTGCTCTCTGATCACTCAGCAGTCGCACAGTGAGTTGACCACTGCTAATCAATATGCGATACTCTTCAGCCGCCGCACTCCTCTGTTCTTTGGCAGGCTCCGCCAATGGCCTACCTGCACCTGCACCCCAGGCGTCAGGAGCCTCTGGCCCTACGGTGCCAGGTCCTGTTGATCCTTCGCAAGTCCTCAATATGCCACTACCTTCTGGAGCATCAGGTTCTCTGCGTGGTTCAGAGGACTATCTAGGGTACAATCCTTCGAATCCAGTCGACATGAAGTCCACCGTCATTCCACCCGAAGACTTCGAACTCGCACCTGGACAATCAGAGGACGCAAAATTGGGATTGTATATCGATCTCTCTAATGTGAAGAACCCGCAGCCGATCCGCGGGGGTACTACAGGACCTACGGAGCCTGGTCCTCGGTAAGTTCGTCACATCGTCATGAATAGAGTCATCTGATTCCTTTGCAGTACACCGGCCTATGATCGCTTGAACAGCGACGTATACGCTCCGCCATCTTCCGACATGGGCGAGGTAAGCAACGCCAAATGGCCATTCGGTCTCAGCCACAACCGCCACGGCCTCGCCGGAGCAGGATGGGCACGATCGCAGAACACCGACCAACTACCGTCCTCGGTCGCAATGGCCGGAACAAACATGCGACTGAGTCCGCACGCGTACCGTGAGCTGCACTGGCACAAGCAAGGCGAATGGGCGTTGATGTACATACCACCCCTTTACCTTGCACGCCTACTCAAGCTAACAATATGCTCAGGCTCAACGGCAGCGTACGCATAGCCTCGATGAACGAAGCCGGCCAAACCTTTGTCGACGACGTCCAAGAAGGCGACGTCTGGTTCTTCCCTCCCGGCATCCCGCACTCGATCCAAGCCTTTGAAAACGGCTGTGAATTCCTGCTCATCTTCAACGACGGCTCCTTCAGCGAGGAAAACACCTTCCTCCTCTCTGAACTCATGCTGCGCAACCCAGAAAGCGTGATAGCAAAGAACTTCCGCACATCAGTCAAGACATTTGAAAACATTCCTCAAGAGCAGCTCTGGATCTTCCCTGGTACCCCCGCGCCGAAGAACATTTCAGAGCAGAATGTCACGGGGCCCGCTGGCGTGATTCCAAAGGAGGGCGCGTATACTTACCATTGGAGCCAGCAGGAACCCGTAAAAGTACCCGGTGGTAGTATCAAGATCCTCGACCCGGCTACCTTCCCCATCGCGAGCACCTTTTCCGCTGCGCTCATCACCGTCGAACCCGGCGCGATGCGCGAACTGCACTGGCACACCACGTCGGACGAGTGGTCGTATTTCCTGTCCGGAACCGCACGCCTGACCGTGTACGAAGCACCTGCTGCGTCGCGCACGTTTGATTTCTCGGCGGGAGATGTCGGATACGTGCCCGTGCCTAATGCGCATTATCTCGAGAATACGGGCAACGAGACGTTGGTGTACCTCGAGGTGCTGCAATCGACGCAATACAGTGATATCAGCGTGAACCAGTGGCTGGGTATCACGCCGAGGCAGATTGTCAAGGATCATTTGAACGTCGACGATGCGTTTTTGGACACGCTGGGCGAGAGGAGGAGTAAGGATTTTGTGGTCCAGGGAAATCCGGATTTGACTACGACTGATTTTACGCCTGGCCTGCATGGTGGTGCTTAAGATGATATCACGTCTAGCTACATCATCCCCGCGCTGCAGTATCTTCCTGTCGCACCGCCACAGCATCCCCCGAGCAAATTTCTCTTCGCAAGGCGCCGTGGGGATAATCCTTGATGCGACAACATGACGTCATCTTCATCTGTCCACTGCTCTATTGCCCTTGATCTCGCGATGGTGTGGAAGGAGTGAGAGAGTAGACCAGCAAGGCATATTTAGATCTGCGCGTAGTCATATAGCGATTCTACCTCAACATCTAATCTGTTGTAACAAACATAACCAAGCTTGCCTTTCTTATTCGCCCCGGAAAAAAAAAGATTCTCACCTCACCCCAACCTTTCCTCACACAGCTCTATTGCCACATCTGCCGTCGCGCCATCAAAAAAGTCATTAAGTATAACCACAACGCTCTCCTCCCTCGTCAACTTCTTCCCCATATCGCCCCTCAGCAGCGGCAGTATCTTGCCATCACACACCGGTTTCGTCGCGAGGATCGGACTCGTACTCACATCGCTATCCAGCACGCTAGCAACGATGACATCTCTAATATTCGTCGCTGTAGCCTGGCATTGCAGCAGCGTGATGGGATGACCCTTTGGCGGGTCCTCGGACATGTCCGATAGTTTAGCGACCATGGAGTCGCCAGTCAACGTAGCATTTGCAGCGTCGTCGTAATTCGAGACCTGCGCGCAGTCCTCTAGGAGGATGAGGCGGGTGTGCTCGGCGCGCAAATCGTGAATAGATTGCCGCATCATGGCGTCCTGATTGCCTACTTTGAGCTCTTTGCCCGCGAGGAGCGGCGTGAGTACGCTGAGTAATTCGTCGTCGTTGGGGCGCGGACAGTCTGCTGGCACGCCGTCCCATCTGTTGTGCACGACGATGATCTCATCCTTGTGCTCGTCCAGGAAACGGATGATGTGGTCGAGTAATACGCGATACGGCATACCGGGTATGGCGCCGTGTTGGAAATACCACGTATCCTCGAGGGAACTCACCTTTTGCATCTGGCGATGGCACTTTGCGGGGCGGAATTCAAAGTATCGTGCGCCGATCTTGAGGATGGTGTCGAGCGTGTCCTTCTGCGTTATAGCTAGTGCGCGGATAATGTCTGGTGCGATGCGGTTTATGGCGCCGTCGCCGACTTTGTTGATGATGGATAGGGCGTGGGGAAGGCTGCGGCCGAGGACTTCTTTGATGACGCCTGTACCTGCGTTCTTGAGGAGGGAGAGGCTGCTGGACATGTTGTTCATTCCAATGTCGTGAGAGGACGGTAGAACCATTTTATGGAAAGGACGGTGCGATTTTTCTGAGCCTTGTGGGATGACATCGCGCATCCAGTTCTCGTAATTCTTGCTAACAGTGATATAACACTGATGTTGTTTTGGCAACTCCGCCAACCCTGGTCCAGCGTCGTAGAATCCATAGGTGATGATGAGATCGTTGGCGAAGATGCTAGGTGTTTGATCCATTTTTACCATTGTGCCATCTTCTAGCTTGCCTGTCATGCTGTTGATTGCAACCCATTGATTTGTGAGTTCTTGACCGTGCTGGCGAACGATGAATTCGAAATTTCCCGTGAACTTGAAATGGGGCAGGTTGGATGACTCTACTTCAAGGTGGTCGTGGAGGAATTGACGCTGAGAGCTGAGCTTGACGCTTTGTTTTGGTACTGTGTACTCAATCTCCACCCCGTCAACGGCGATGTATGTGAAGCACCTTACGCCCTTGGAAGGCATGTTGGATTATATGTCCTCCTCGTTCCAGCCGTGTAGTAGGCGCACTGGTAGCACTAGTGCATGGAGAGTCAAGACCCTGGCGACTCTATTATGGTCGGTGAAATGTGTATAGCATCTTGAGTGAACGCAGTGATGCGGGGCAGCATCTCATATAATATGCAGCCGGCGATCTGCCAGCCACGCGTTTTCAGCTCTGTCTAGACTCTGCGGGTCGTTAGCGGTGGCTTAGCTGTGGTGTTGAAGTGGGGGATCCCGCTGCATGAACCAATGAGACGCGCCAGCCGGGCCGATGCCAATCTGGTAAAGCTCGTCGATTGCTAGCAACAGTTTCTGTTCATGACAAGGGCGCTAGCAACAAGCAAGTCGGGAGTTGTAGCAGTCTTGGTTCTTTGACCGTGTTTCCATTCTCCAAGTCTTAAACAGAATGGGTGATTACCGAGTTGCTCATGGACCACAACCCTCAGGCCTGTAATGTACCATCGCCAATCTGATCATATTGACTCGATGGACATCAGGTCGAGATATGTAAGGATCAGACTGGAACCATCAGACGAGAAAATTCTATGCGACTGTTCCTGCGTCGATACAGTTTGATGCCCTGCGGATCAGGCCGGTAGCCAAGGCGACACACCTTGTACACATCTCATGATCGACCGGGATGAACCGTAGTGCAAGGTATCGTAAGGTTTGTATCTTCCGAGTTCACCTTTGGAGACTAGACACCGTCATCTTGTACGACTAAGCCGACTTCAGGCTATATTGGACAGACAGGTGAAAAGGAAAGACAATCGTTGACCGGTGACCGGGAGCTTCGGGCCCGTTGTTCACCAGAGATGCAGGCGAAGATGCATCTTCCTGTTGGATCTACAGCCTCAACATGGTCATATGTGCACCAAAAGTCTGGAAGACCCAATTATCTTGCAGGAGAATAGCCAAGTGGGGTGTGAGAGAGTCGAGGTGAAACGTGCCATGCGTTTCAGTGATGCTTGGTTGCTGCTGGCAAGATGTTGGTGGGGCAATGAGCTGTTGCCCCTCCTTGCCGCAAGCACCTCGCAGGTCCCTTCTAGAACAAGTAGTTGGATACACTTAACGTACGTTGTCCCCGATTGATCGCCTGCCTCTTCCCATCTAACGTTGAGTTGCAATTGCAGACTCGAGCAATCAGTCAATCAATCAACGCCACAAACAATTCGTGTAAAGTCGATACGTACTGTACCCCTCCACACCCCGAGCTATCACAACACATCGTCGTCATCATGGTCGAGCGCACGAACAAGCCCTCAGCGTTGAACGCGCCCACACCTTCAGCGCCCGGCCCACAAGTCGACATTGTCGGAGAGGGTGGAAGCCAAAAGGTCGTGGCAAGGTTGCCGTCTGGCGAGAGCATCGAGGTGCTGCTCTTCGGAGCTACCGTTACTAGCTGGAAGAGCAACGGCGGACAGACTGAGAACCTCTGGCTGAGCGATGCGGCTGACGTGACGGGCAAGAAGCCTGTACGAGGTGGTATCCCCGTCGTATTCCCCGTCTTCGGTCCTCCGCCCAAGGACGGACACGCCACGTCGTCGCTGCCCCAACATGGCTTTGCTCGTGCATCGCGCTGGGAGTACATGGGCAAGTCGACTGCCGAAGACGCTCTCGACTCCAACTCGGTCAAGCTCGACTTTGGCCTCGACCGTCAATCGCTTAGCGACGAGTCGCGCAAGGCATGGCCGCTGGACTTTGGACTCGTATACAGCGTCACACTTAGCAAGGACAGTCTACAGGCCGTCCTCACAGTCCGCAACGAAGGCGAGGAGAGCTTCGAGTTCCAGTTCCTACTCCATACGTACTTTCGAATTCAAGACGTGTCTAAGATTGCCATCACGGGCTTGTCTGGCACCGAGTACATTGACAAAGTGCTCAATGCTTCTACACACACACAGAGCGACAACCAGCTCAAGATCACAGGCGAGACGGACCGCGTGTACAAGGACATCAAGCAGGATACCACATCGATTACTGAAGACGGCAAGCCTCGCTTCGACGTGATCCGCGACAACGTCAAGGACACGGTCACGTGGAACCCGTGGATCGAGAAGGCCAAGGCCATGGGCGACTTCTCCCCAGACGACGGCTACAAGAACATGGTGTGTGTCGAGATTGGTGCTGTCGATGGGTGGCAGAGGCTGGAGAAGGGCGAGGTGTGGGAGGGTGGCATGTTGGTCAAGAGCCACTTGTAGGGGGGAGAGACACTGAGGGGGGAGAGACACTGAAGAGGGAGAGCGACTGATAGACTAGAGCAAATATTCGAAATTAATGCGTGAGTCTGGCCGCTTGATGTTGTGCACTTTGTTTGCGCTGAGACCCTTGCCAGCTGGGTCGCCCTTGCCGTCCCACAACTCCCCGCCAAAACTTGCGCGCGCCGCCCAAACAAGAGACGACTCCATGACAACAGTCAGCGCTACCTGAGGGACAGTGTCATGCTACTTGTACACGACAATCGCGACGCAGCTCGCAACGCCTTCAGTCACCGTCTTTGGGCCATCGACTGAGGTCCCTGCCGATATCTCTACACCTCTACAGCTTCCCCGCACCGCGCGAGGTGCTACGACTGCACGCATCACAGGTAACTAGGTGGAGACGGCTACGTCAGTTATTGTTTGCATAGGCGAAAAACTACAGCACATCGCCGGATAGTCAAAGACGTTGCGCCGTCCTCTGAAGCTGGCGGCCAGGCCGACGTCGCAAGTCGCACCAACATGTCACTGATTCCATACGCCCCAGCCGAGTCGCGCGAGATTGTACTGTAGGTACCCATAGCAGTCTGGTGAGTAGGAGGGCAGTGATGACCAGAGGCTAACGGCTACAGTCGCCATGGTTCCGCCGTCGTCGTCTACGACCAGCGCTCGAAACAACTCTCCCTGCGCGATGCTTCCCACGCAACCGACATTGGCTCCACCTCATGCCCTTACTGCCACCGACCCTACCGCGAACCGTCGCCGCATTCGGAACACGATAGCGATGAGCCAGAGCATGCCGTGCCAGGCATCCCCGCGGAAAATGGCTTCGTCAATCCCGCCTACTTCCAAATGCTGCGTCGGAGCCAGCCAGGCTCAACAGAGCCGTCGCGACCCTCGTCGCCACACAAACAATTGACGCCTGCACCCATGCGCATGAACAGCTTTCAAGCACCAGAAGGAACCGAGTTTGTCGGGAGCACACCGGTGCAGCCTGCTAGGAGCCAGGGCATTTCCGCTCGGGCCTTTAGTCCAAACTATTTCAAAGACTTCTTTGTAGAAGAGCGGGAGCTGGGCAGAGGCGGCAAGGGCGTGGTTCTGCTGGTGCAGCATGTTCTCGATGGCGTGCATCTGGGCAAGTTTGCATGCAAGCGCGTGCCGGTGGGCGACGACCATGAATGGCTAGAGAAGGTGTTGATAGAAGTCCAACTACTCCAGACCTTGTCCCACCAGAACCTAGTGTCCTACCGCCACGTGTGGTTAGAAGACTACCAGATATCCAGCTTTGGACCGAGCGTGCCTTGCGCTTTCATACTGCAACAGTACTGCAACGGCGGCGATCTCCATAGCTATATCCTCGACTCGGCCAAAACTTCCATCACAAAAGAGCAGATGAAGGAGCGACTGCGGCGGAGGTCCAAGGGTCGGTTGGAGGATCCAGAGGACGTGCATGGTCCGCGTCGCATGCACTTTGAAGAGATTATTTCCTTTTTCAAAGACATTACGTCTGGACTGAGCCACCTGCACGCCAACGGCTATATCCACCGGGATCTGAAACCCAGTAATTGTCTACTCCATCGAACTGGCCGTAAAGTCAAAGTCCTAGTTAGCGACTTTGGAGAAGTACAGTCAGCATCCGGAACCAGGAATTCTACGGGCGCGACTGGAACGATTTCGTATTGCGCGCCGGAAGTGCTGAGGCAAGAGAGACCGGGTGGTGCGTTTGGCAACTTCACCACGAAGAGTGATATCTTTTCGCTTGGCATGATTGTCTACTTTATGTGTTTTGCGCGACTTCCGTATCGGAATGCGGATGGTGTTGATGAGGATAACGAGGACCTAGACCAGTTGCGTGCTGAGATATCGACTTGGGCGGGCATCGACGACGAACAACGCGTTCGATCGGATTTGCCTGAGAAGCTGTACAGGAGTTTGAAGAGGCTTCTTGCTATCAACCCTGATGAACGGCCTGGCGCAGAAGAAATTTTACACGTGCTAAAGTCGCCTCTAGTTTTCGACGAGTACAATGCATCTACATACCCCGCCCCATCTGGTCTGGACGAGTTCAGTCCGCGCATCTCGAGAGCTGACACACCCAGCCCGTCGCCAACCCAGGGCAACAAGAAGAGCAGGGGCGTAAACTACACACGGCCAGGACGATCCCATCTTAGTGCTACCGTCGTGGATCGGTCGCCTAGTCCGTCGCGTCCAGAATTCATGAGGAGGCAGTCATCAGAAGATGGAGCCGTCATTCTGAGGAGAGGAAGCAAGCTGGAGTTTCCACCACCGCAGCCTTCTGGAGGGAGAACGCCGAGTCCGCAACGGTTGATGTTACCTCCACCACTACCACCCACGACATTAGCAAGGTTCTACAGACATGTCAAGGATCCTGCGGTTGTCAATGCGGCAAAGATTGTGCTGTTTTGTGCAAAGGCCTACAGTCTGCTTTCTCCTTGTCAGCCTTTTGCAGCAGATGCGCGAGTACTGTACCCGCTACTTTGCATGGCGTCACTCGACTTCTTCCGTGTTGGCGGGTTAGGTGGGTTGGGACGCTCGGCCCTGCTTTTGTGCGCGCATTTGGTGGTGGTGGGTGTGACTTGGAAAGTGGATAGGCTGTGTGCTGGGAGGAGTGTGGCTTGGGATGGAATGTAGCGACGACTGGGCATGACTTTCTTCCTGCAGCTGTTGTTGTGGGTATCAGGAAGACATGTTCTATGATCCGTGTCTGTGGTATGCAAAACGAACAAGGTGTTTGAAAAGGGCGCAAAGGACATGTGGTCGTTGGGCTTGGTGCATTTGAACTTGTGATACCTCTGTAGTACTGATATTGCGCATTAAAACAGTTGTAGATATGCTTATGGTATAGAGCACACGTCGGTGAATTTTAGAACTAATTGCTGAGAAACGCTTATCAAAGGGAGAAGACTATATCACGATGGTCTTGTACTGTAGTTCCAAACATCGCCGTGCTTGCATTTCGGCAGCATTACCATCGTAGCAGTATATTCATTTTGCTTGGTGCGAGAGCGCGTCGGTGGCTGGAGTGGGGCCAGGGTTCGTTAGCTTTGTTTTGGAGTAAACACGCCGACCCGCTTCTATCTTCGACACTGAATCATCGCACTTTCCCACACAACGCGCCCCATCATACTTGGGCTGGCAATCTTTTCTGTCTTTCTTGGAGGTAATTATACAGCTGAGGTAGATCTTTACAAAGCATCCTTTCGAGATAGCCTATTTACGTACGTGTTTGACACGCGACGCGCATCCCACGATTTGAGATTGCCCGCGCGGCCTCAGGATTCCAACACGCAACATGCAGTCCTCTCCTCCCATGAGCGAAGGGAAAGCGCGCGCTATCAGAGAACTCTCACGCAGTCTCAGTCACAGCCCTAGAAATATCACATCGCCCTCACCACCACCCAGCGACTCGAATCCCACGCAGCGGTCGGGTTTCGGCACCAACACGTCTCAATTCTTTGACGACCCAGACATTCTCATGTCCACACAACACAACATCGCGGAAGACACCAACACACTACCGGGATATCCGCGGATTCGTTCAACCGCGAAGAAGATGAATACTTGGGCTCCGTTCCGTTCCGAGCAGGTCCAGCCCGACACGTCCATGGTCAACAAGGAGTTTGGCGACTTTGACCACAGCATCTCCGACGAGGAGAGCATGGCCATCGAGCAGGCGCGAGGTAACCGCAGCAACCGCGGTACCCCCAGCAAGATGAGCTCCCAGTTCAACAGCCTCTACGACATCACACCCCCCACCAACAGATCGCGTAAATCATATCAGGCAGACACTGGCAGCCTCCGACGTGACGCGGCGATCCGTCGCGCCTCGCGCAACGACCTGGACTACACTGCATCGCCGCGTCCTGCAAGCAAGCGCAATTCTCCCGCCCTCTCCACAAAGGAAAGCCGCAAGAGCACTTCACTTGCACAGCTGCACGCAAAGCTCTCCGAAGACGAGTCATCGTTCATGGAGCATCGACCACCAACACTGACCATGGAGTCCACCAAGAACACGCGCTGGGGCAACAGGAGCCGACAGACCTCTCTCCAAACCGACGGCAATGTCGATGCTCTTCCACAGCCAAAGGCTACACCTCGCTCAAGGCCTGCTACAGCGCAGAACGCGACTGCGCAGTCCTTCATCTTGCCTGATCTTCCCAATCTCACCGAGCTCGTCTCTGGCGTGTTCGACGATGGCACACCCGTCTTTTCCAAGACTGCACCATCACGGTCACGTTTTGCGGCTCCACCGTACGGCGGTCGCCGACCATCGCATATTCCCATCGATGGAGCGCCTATACCTGACGAGGAAAAGGCCATCTTCGCTGCTCTCCAGCAGCTGCAGGAGAAGATTGCGGACATGGAGCGCGAGCGTGAAGACAAAGACAAGAAGATTGATGAGCAAGAGCTGGAATTGATCGAGCTGAGAGCGACTACGCAAGCTCAGGAGAAGCTCCGGCGAAGTGACAGCGCGCAAGACTCTGACGCTGGCGGAAAAAGCGGCTGGAAGGTCGAAAAGACACGTAAGTTGCCGTCCCCCATGTCTGTTCCTCCCTGCACAATATGATGTCGAATGTTATCATTCAGTTATCCCTGTCTGAAAACTATTGTTGAAAACTTACTATTCTGATTTGCGTCTATCATCACCCTCCTGCAAAACACGAAAGTTCCGGGACTTTACTGACAACGAGCAGGCCTTGACGCGACTGTACAGACCCTCCGAACGAAGCTCGATCGCGCCGACCGCAAATCCGCCGTCCTCGAAATCGAGAAGAAACGTCTGAGCACCGAACGGGATAACATGGCCAATCAGCTGGGTGTCGCGTTCCAGACTTGCGAGGAGCTCAAGATCGAGAAGAACGCCTTGACCAAGGAAAACGATCAACTCCGCCAGGAAATTGACACCCTTCGCGCCGAGAACGAATCGCTGCGCGATCAACTCGAACAAGACTTGTCTCACCACCGAGAAGAGACGATCCAGCTCCGCCAACAGTTTGACCAAGCCGCAAACGCAACTCAGAGGGAGAACGCGAACCTGCACGCAGAGCTGGCTCGTGTGCGCGCTCAGCAGGACGAAAACACACAGCAATTGACTCGCAGAGACATGGAGCTGCGCAAGGCACGTCAAGAGCACGCCGAGTACGCGAGATTGAAGTTCGACCATGAGTTACTCAAGGCCCAGGTTGAGGAACTGAAGAGGAAGCGCGAAGAGGATATCAGGCGTTGGGAGAGGCAAGAAGAGAGTTTGAGAGCAAAGGTTGGGAGGCGGGACGATACTATTCGGCTGTTTGAGGATACGACGACTCAAGAGCGTACAAATGAAGCTATGCGTCTAGACAACGAGAATCTCCGAAACGAACTCCGAGAACTCCAAGCCCAGCAAGACGAGGAGAATGAGGAGTGGGCGAGGAGAGAGGCGGAACTACAGCGCAAGATTCGACAGCGTGAGATTGCTGTAAGGAAAGCCAGGGTAGAGAACGATACCGAGCACATCTTCGAAGACAAGCCTAGCTATCGCCGCGAAGATACACGGACGCGTATCAGGAATCGTGTTCAGCAGGAGGTCCGTAACAGCAAGATTGCCAGCCAGGAAAGCCCACGGAAGTCGTTCACCGGACATTCGAGGTTCTCAACTCGCAGCTTTTCCGCATCTGTCCCAGCCGATAAGCATGCGCACGCAGAGAGCGATGTAGAATCTACCACCGATCTTTCTCTTGCGCCACGCTCCACTCTGCGTATCTCACGAAACCCTGCTTCTTCTGCTAGGCAGACGACGATGACGGTTCAACCCCCCACTGATCTGAGCCTCACGGAGTTGAGCTTCTTCCCCCAGGAGGAAATTGCGCGGTTGAGGCGCGAGCTGGAGGAACAGCGTGCGAATGAGCGGGCTGGTAAAACTCAAACTGGAGAGCAGATGAGGGAAGACACTGTGAGGAGTCAGCGACAGACTCGCGAGGATACAGGGCGGTCTGTGGCAAGTGCAAAGAGCACATCGCATTCGCGTCGACCCTCTCTCGTACGCAAGTCTAGCCTCAAAGACACCACACAGCGCACCACCACCACGCACTTTGACGAAGACACAGGCAAGCTGTCCCATGCAGATACCGCCGCCGACGACGCCGATGCCGAAGCAACGCAAACTCGCCAGTCAGCCATGTCTGATGCTTCGATGCTCAGCAACACTGGAAGGCGAAGGCGGAGCGCGCCTGCCACGGAAATGACCAGTGCGTTTATCCTACCGGATATCAAACTTGCTTCTTCCACTACTACCGGAGTGAAAACACACACTACTGCTACTACCACCAAGCCCGTCATCAGCAAGGAACACGACAATGACAATTGCACCGTGTGCCGCCGCGAGGGTTACACGACGGCTACTGCTGCTCTCGTTGTACCCAAGTTGGTCAAAGTGTCGGAACGCTCAACCGCCGATGAAACAGATGCTACGATGCGGCCCGTGCAATCACCAAGGGAGGCTCTGGCAACGGTTGTCAAGGGACTCAATGATGAGCGCATACACTTGACTGCCGAACTAGCCGTTCAGCAAGCTATGCTGAGCGAGCATGACCCTAGTCTGGGTAAGAGACGCCGCGCGGCTATCGACGTCAGTATCCAAGATTTGTTGCGCAGGCTATCTTGGTTGGACCAGCAGATTTACAGGCTGCATGATGTGCTCGAGGGACAGGAAGATGTTACTGAGGAGGAGGTTGAAGAGCTTACTATCCAAGCTGTTAATAAGGCTGCCCCTGCCCCTGCCCCTGCTGCTGCTGCTGCTCAGAAGGAGAAGAAGAAGAAGGTTACTATTCGGAGCTTTGTGTCTGAACATGAAGTCTCGGACTGCGATCATCACGGTGAGGATGGCGGTGATGAGAGTGTCGAGTTTAGAAGAGGTGGTCGAGGCAAGACAGATGAGGAGAGTGGGGATGAGGAGGAGGAGCGTTCGCTGGAGTTGCCGTGGGAGGGGTTTGGGGATGATGGGGAGAGTTTGGGCATGGAGGGGGATGTTAGTTTTAATGCGCTCGCGGGGTGGAGGGGTGTACATTAGATAAGGAAGGCTTTGGAAGGACGGGTTGTTGTTTGGATGAAAGGGTTTGTTGCCTTTTAGAGGATGGATATGACGAGGGTTTTTTTGCATTGTTATGGGTGTTTGGGTTATTGGGTTTCGGGATATTGGGTATAGGGCATGTCGGCGTCTTTTTCCTTGGTCCTCTTCTGGTTGTTGGACTTTGGGTTTTCTACCTGTTCGCTCTTCTTGTTTCCTCTTCTTTGGCTTTTTGTCGTCTCAGCACCATGGCACATAGCCTAGCTCTTGTCCTTTTTGGCTTGAGACCTTGACTCACCTTTTGGGTTCGAGTTGGTTTCGCTGAATGAGATGGGACTGGCGTGTGTTTTAGTGTTGAGACGTGGAGTAGTCTGAATTAAGAATGAAATGCACCAAGAATATTTGCATCATGATCACATACCTTCTTCTCTTACATAACGGTCGTTCTTGTTTGCTCATCTGGTCGCTTCACCTTCAGGCTGGTGGCGGAGGGGAAGGTATAAGCGAGCTTACATTCTAGGCAGCAACTGCACGACCCAATCTTCCCTCCTTAACCTCAGCATAGTATTCGCCGACTCTACAATCACCTGTGGCTTGTTCATCCTTCACTTGGCAAGTTCCCTGCACGTATTACATCGTGATCATGAGGTTGGAATGTTCTGATAGTTGAAAAGGGCAACCACGCATGACTGGAGCCTGATCAGATACCATGTCTGACCACGCTATCTCTAGATCTGCACACTCCAATGTAGTATTGAACAGGCTTTGTATCGGTAGCTGAGATGTAACTGACTGCTTGCAGCTTGAGGAACCCAAGGCGGCCTCTGTAGATGGGGACTCCATTTGCGAAACGTGTCACAAGATCGACTTCAAGCGTCTACTCAAAGATTCCAGATATGCCGACCATTCCGATGGGATTCTGATCACGAATAAGCAATATTCTACTGGATGCAAGCTCTGCAGTCTGATTTTTCGAGGCACCCCTGTATGTGAGTTAGGGAAGATGTTCTGGCTTAGGGTATCTGAGGTTCCGGGGTTGAAATTCGAAGACATTAATCAGCATTCAATGCTACATTCAGATCGGGAGAACCTTGCGGTGGATGCTGATGCTCTAGGCACTGTCGAGCTGAAGCTTTGCGTAGAAGTGGGGGGTTCTGACTGCTCTCGACTTGACCCCGTTTTTTGTAGGCTGGCTAGCGATGTCTCGCAGTGTTTGGAATGTGCTCAACCTGTACAGAGGATCTGGGACTACCACAAGGCGCGCTTATGGCTAGATGTCTGCGTAAGATGTCACGAGTTCGCCTGTGAACCGGACTCACTCCCCATCCCGGCGATGAACCTGATAGATTGTGAGGAAATGGTTATTGTAAAAGCATCTCCACAGATGCCGTGGCTGGCACTGAGTTACGTATGGGGTATCAATTACCAAACTGAAGATCTTGCAGGATATCGCGCTGGATCAAGCCTGCCTTTGGTGGAAATTCCTCGCACAATCAGAGACGCCATTGTTGTTACGTTGCAGCTTGGATATCGATTCTTATGGGTTGACGAATACTGTATCGATCAAAACGACGAAATCCACCGAAAAGACCAAATCGACAAAATGGATCGAATCTATCGTGGTGCAGATCTCACTGTCGTAGCTGCAGCTGGCATGGACAAAATGTACGGCTTACCAGGCGTGGGACCAACAACTCGTACAGAGGAAAATGTTGTGCGTATTGGGGATGTCATCGTATTCTCGAAAGGGATCATGCCACACATTGAAACTAGACAGTCGAAATGGTTCACTCGAGCATGGTAAGATGGCCCCAGGATTCCAAACTTTTGACAAAATCACTGATCTGGCTAACTTCGGCATGTGCAATCTGTAGGACCTTCCAAGAAGGATTCTTGAGTAAGCGTATGTTGGTTTTCACAGATCGCCAGGTATCGTTCTATTGCTCAGCAGACCATTGGATGGAAAGAACGGGGCGCCCTGATCCCAACAGATATGCCGCTCCTCCACATGCGTTCAACCTGCTCCTCCAGATGAATTTCCAACGCAAAATGTCTACGACATCATCTATTTGGACCTGGAATTACTTTGCAGTGATTCTGGAGATGTATAGCCAACGGCAAACTACCAAACATGCGGATACTCTGGATGCGTTCCAGGGTGTCATGAATCACGTTCGACAAGCACGACCAACTACTCAGCTGCTTTGTGGCCTACCTTTCTTCAGATGTTCAGAAAAAGTGTTCATGCAGTCATCTGAGGATCTCGTTTCCACTGCATTATCGTGGTTTTCGTACCCGAACGAGCTCGATTCACCCCAGAGGCATACTACATTCTCCTCATGGACTTGGGCTGGATGGAGTGGAGGAGCGAAGTTCTGGCGGCTTGACATCATAGAGGCTAGACACCAACCCTATCTACGGCGCGTACGACTAGAGTCACCTTCTGGACAGACTATTGTGTCTTCCACGACTTGCAAGGACGACATGCAAGGCGAGCTTGACACTGTAACGCTGGTTCAGTTCAATGCCCCCATGATACCAGCTACCAGCTTCTCTATCACAGATGATCTGCCCGACAATCGTCATCATTATCGGTATTCTGGCACCCTTGTAGAGATTCCCAAGTTCAGAGTTTCTGGTCGGAGGTTATATCACTCCAGCTATCCACGGAACTATTCATTCGAGCAGTTGGTTGAGAACATACGCACGGGTATATGGTCATGTTTGACGTTGTGTGCTGGAATTTGTAACGAACGCAATAGGGACATAGAGCACTCAATATTTGTACTTGTCGTTTGCTGGAAGGCCGATAGCGTAACTGCTGAGCGGATAGATTCGTTCTGCATACATACAGAGCTGGATGAGCTCTCAAGGCTCGGACCCGTCTTGAATGGGACTTGGACGTGGCGCCGTGTCAGACTGCTCTAACCACACTCACTCACGGTGTGACAGATATGAGCTCTCCAACATTCAAACCCACCGGGAACATCCCTTTATCTTCCATTTTGCCTTTTCAGCCTCACAAATACACGCCTAGAGTACTGAGAGATCTTCATATTACCCCTCTCACCGTCATGAGGTAGATATCTCCTGTGCTGCTAAATCCGCATACCCTTGACGAATGTTCTCGAACTCGCCACTAGCTTTCTGTGCACTTGTTTTCGAACTGTTAGCTTGTCGCTTCCATTGATTTCCTGTTTCAGGCGCCCCGAATCTCTGGTTATCTTTTTTCGTTCCAGGACTGCAAGGTCAATTTGAGGAGTCTATTTGATGTTGTCTGCGGTCTCAACACCTGCTGTTGATGGGTGATTTTGATGGACGCCAGGAAGTGTTCTTGATGCACGCATCAAACAGAAGCTGAAATAGTCCAGATCGAAATTGATCTGCATCTACCAAGGTAGCCATCTCACCTATTTCGATATACCAATTACTTGCTCGGATAATGCGCATGACTTGGTGATTCGATAAGAGAAGTGGGGAGTACGACAAAGCAAAAAGGCAGACTCTTGTTATAAGTTTATCATGGTCTCCGGATCATTCACAACTAGTCTAGATACCCCAAGTACAAAATGGCGGAACGCTCGCATATATCATGAAAGATAAGTGAGATGCGCGACGAAGTGATTAGCCGTGTTTCTTCCATGAAGGATGGTTTATGAGTGATACAGCTGTGGGTTTCACGCGTCCTGTGGTCAGCCTTGCTTGGAGCCTTGTGATACCATGTCGGGATGTCGGAATTTCAAGATGAATGGAGCGTATAGAAGAGGAGAAAGCGACATTTCCTGAAATATTGTTCATGTTGACAGCTTAGAAGCTGTTACACGTATCATGAATTATAAATTATCATACGCCTGATCTTTTTGAACCAATTTGAAGGCTTGTTAAACCCTAAATTTGGGATCGAAGGGAATGAGATCACAATCATCCTCGTTGTCGAAAGTCTCGAATTGTGATTCGCCTTTGCGGTAATCTTCTTCCGACACATCTAAGTCATCCGCCTTTTCGACTGTCTTCCAGACACCAAGGCTTCCAGAAGGTAGATTGATCGCTATCGGGCTAGCTGATCGCTCGCCATCCCGAGGACCAATGATGATAACACCATCCAATTCTGCCACATTACTTGGGAAGAACTGAACTCGACGGCAACGCGCTGTCCGCGGCAGTGTGATTTCGTTACTGGGCTGAGTGACCTTTGTTGCGGTGTGTCCCTTTTGTTCGCTCATAGAGCTTCGTGACGTCTTTAGGGGTAACCTGTACACGCAAATCCTGTCAGAGCTGCAGGTCATATAGACGTATTCTTCCTTCCAAGTTAGGCTAAACGGCTGGTCTGCCAGTCTGTCACGATGCCATTTGCCCAGTTCCACCTTCGTCTTCGCGAGCTCTTTTGGTGGGCGTACTGAAGGTCGCTTACTGGAAAGAGACCAAGAAGACAACATGATACTCAGGTCCGGCTGATCAACCGTTTTCTGATTCATGTGTGGCATAGGGATTGTTGCATAGACAGTGAGCGTATACAGAAATGTGCCGCAAGTGGAAAAGTGAGTGTCCACAGTCAACTCATACTCTATAATATCGGTCAGTGGATGAGACGTATGGGTCTATCTCATCAAACTTACCGAACCAGTTCCTTTTCCCCGTACCTCCATGGGTTGGCCGGATAAAGTACCTATTTTCCTCGATATCTGCGCACAGCATTTTCCAATCACCAAGGGGCCAGATCAGAAGGCTGTTGTAGGGATGGAAACATGGATGGGAATTGTACAAACACGGCCTTTTTGACCTAGGATCGTGATACCTGAACATCACTGGAGTGGCGCCATCAAGTCTTTCCACCACAATGCATATGTCTGAACGGCAGTCAACCAATCGCAGACCACCAAGGCGGCGTAGACGACCACGACTATGAAGTCGCGTTTTGTAAAGCTGATGGAATCGGTCATTGCACCAACGACCTTTCTTGAGGCACGTAACGCAGAGGTCATAAAAGTTCTCGCGTACGCAAATGACGCACTCATAGAACAGGCTCAATGGTTGAGCTTGACATGCGTCACAGACACGGTGATGAAGCTTTTTCTTTGTTCCAGTAATGTCCGCATATCTCTCTTCTGCTTGCTCGAATTCAGATGCTGATTCTGAAAAGGTCGAGTCGGCAGCAAGATGTGCTGTGGGTTGAGTCCTTAAGAAACCTGTAAACGATGGAAACGATGAGACTTCTGGAAGTGCTTCGGATTCGCTTCCTGAGTCTGATGAGCTCGGAGCATGCGTCAGTTTGCCTAATCCTTCAAGCTCTTCATTAGTACCATCACTACCCGATTCATCCGCTTCAGTTCCAGAGACAAAGCCCGAGCTTTCTTGTGAGTAATCAGTCACCGAGCTGCAAGACTGTGTCGGTGACTCAATACCAAAGGAAAACTGTGAAGCATCTTCCGATTGGAATCCATCCGTTACGGATGCATCATCATCAGAAGACCAAGACTGGCGGCGGTCAAAGAGGTCCTTCCGAAACCGTGATTCAGCTTCGACCAGTCTCCTGCGGCTCTTCACACGCCAATTGCCATAGACCTGTATGTTTTCCCAAAAGGGCGAGCCGTAAGCTTCTGCTTTGTCTTCCTCTTTGAGCCAATGGCCGTTATGTTCAACAAACTCAGCCAGTCCGATTCGAAGACGTTTATGGGAGGAGGTAAAGGCGATCGGTGGCACTCTTTCCGCTTGATCCGACGACGGAAATAGGTATATAGCTCTGGCAACCCCCGGATCGTACAGTTCCCATTTCGTTTCCGCCTTGGAAAACAAGAACTTTCGATGTGACACAGATCTTGGTGCGGAGTTCTGAAACGCCCACGTGTGCTCATATAGCTTCAGATCATCGTCGGACGTACTTCGAGGCGGTTAGCTCTGACAAGATAGGAAGCGGTATGAACTCACTCAGACTTGTAGACCCTCCAAACAGTAACAGTCAGTTTGTCCGTAAGCGTCACGTTACATAAGACTCTATCCGCGTTTTCGCTTGGATCAGATTCATCTTCAAGTACGAACGCCATCTGAAATCGCTGCAGAGGATGATGACGACGGAAGTAGTTAGTGGTACTCAAAGTGCTCCATAGACAACGGTCTATCTCGCCGTTGACGTTTTCACAGACACCCCTCTGTAGAAATGGGCCCCACTCTGCCAGGAATTCGTGGTAGTCGTTCCACAACTTCACATAAGCGCCGGAGACGAGGGATGCAGGAAGATTCTTCTTGATGTTCCTTTTCTTGGGGTCGTCACAATCCAAGTCCTGGATGAAATGCCCGGGGACGAATAGACTCTGAATCTGGATAGCCGTGATGAATTGAGGAGATCGTAAGAAACACTCAACAAGATGGGAGAAGCGGAGGTCGGGCTCAGGATCGTCTACATGCCGATACCAATACTTCGCGGCATACTGGAGGAACTTGTGTTTGCGAACGTCTTCAATACCGGCTCGAAATATGAGAGCGCTCTCTTTAGTCAACGTCCGCGCATATCGGTTCTGGAAGAGATAATTCAAGCAAGAATTTGCTAAGAATGTCGCATCAACCATTGGTGGTTGGCTCGAGTTGCCGGTCGTTGTTGACGAGCCTCTTTTGGGGTGATTCGAAACACTAAGAAGGTACAAATGCACTGACTGGTGTGCCAAGCGAAAAACACCATTGGTGTCTTTACTGTCCTTGGAGTAGTAGCGTACGAAGGGAACGCAGCGATTTTTGAGACTGTTAAAAAGAATCAAAGAATTGGGTGATATGTTGGGGAGTCCTGTTAGAGTGAAGCGGTCCTTTAAGCAGAAGGATGCTATAGCTTCTTGAAGCTCAGGGAAATGCAGAGGTCGCCTTGCGAACGTAAGAATCGACAAAATGGCCCTGTGCGCACATAAGTGTCATGACAAAAAGCGCCGTGCAGATAGGCTTACCGCGAATAACCTGTGCATTGGCGTTTTGTCTGATCGCTCATATCCAGATTCTGTAGCCGCTGGAGCGATTTGCTGTAAAGGTCCGAAAGATCACTGGGTAGACCTTTTTCAATGGTCTGCTTAACCTCTTCCACGCTGGCACAAGTGTTGATAGCTTCTGCCATCATCGCCGCCCATCGGAAGCTGTCGGCAGCCCTAGTCTTCAAGAGCAGTTTACCGACCTCTAGAGAGAGCCACGCACTCTCACCAAACTTCTCGGTGCCTAAGTGAGTCTCGATTGTTGCTTTCAAAAATTTGGCCACACTAGTGCGAGCCTGTATCTCCGGGATATTTAGCTCAACAACCGACGCTTTGCTCGCCATGAGATTATGGCCACCGACATCTTGTTCCAGCCATCCTCTGGTTCTGTCGTCAGACTGGCTACTGAACCAGAGCCGCACATTTGGTTCGGACTGAGCACATCGAAGTAAAAATCCGACCAGGTCTTTTGCTTCTTTCTCTTCGTTGTCCAATTGTTTGCGATTGACATCGTAGCTCAATTCGCTCGCTACTTCATTGATGCCATCGATGAAGAGAAATATTTTTCCGACTGCTGCTGCTGCGCGAAGCAGCTCCGTTACCAAACCCTTCATCTCCTCTGCATCTTGTCTAGCTCTGTTTCTGAAGCTGATCGCAGCTTCAGTCAGAGCTCTGCAATCGTCTACCCTCTTCAATAGTCCCGATGCTAATCGTTGGAGAACTTCGAGCTTTTGAAAGATGTGTCCGAAATGGACGAATTCGAAGACAGCTCCAGGTCTATCAGGCAGGTTCTGAACATGTTCGATGGCGGCGGAACTTAGGAATGTCTTTCCCACCCCAGACGGTCCAGTCAGCCAGAGACATGTATCGGATTCAGATTTGGCAATCCAAGATTGGAATCTAGTGTCATTGAGCAACCAATCGCAGGTCCCCTTATGATTGTTCATCATCTCGCAATTGTTCTTATGTTCATCCCGATTGCTGCTGTCTGTATTGCCTATCCAATCCCAAAGGGCGCGAATCCGATCGTCATCATGCTTGACAGCTGAAAGACCACTCCGAATCCTGTCACGAAGCCTTTTGTAGTTCACGTGTTCGGGGTGTGGAAATTTACATATATCCTCGTGGCGGACCCGATCCATCCGGAATATCCTTTCGTGGAGTATCAATGTATGGGCAGAGAGCCCTGGAGCTATCTGCGAACACTTAGAACGCACTTCAATGTGAGTTCTATCTACTGTACCTGTTTACTCGTGTCACCGTCGCTTTCCAAGATGGAGGCACACGTGGACGATATATTGAAACTTCCAGCTATGTTAGCAAAACGTTTAGCCTGAGCTTCGAGCTCTTGCGACCAGAGTCCAAATTCAGACGCCACATGATCGCTCAGATACCCGCCGTTCAGATTTTGCAGTGCATCGATATTGATTCCCATGTGTGGTGTGTCCAGAAATACAACTTGTCGAGTATTGTTCACGATCTCCGAAAGACTTGAAATAGCTCTGGAGTGGTTCAACGCCTAGAATCTGTCATTATGAGGCTTCGGGGATAGCTCAGTGGATATTTACGCTCTTGATGATGATTCCACCAATGCCATGTCCTACGAAAGTGATGGGGTGGTGCTAGCGGATTCAGCGCTATATCCAATAATGGAGGAATCAGAAATTGACAAAAAGCTTACGTAAACCTGGTTGTCGTGAAGAATGCCGCACAATTCTTCCCCAAGGCCAAATATGGTGCTAGGTACGATGATCTCATTACTTTGGGACTTTTGCTCTACCGCTCGATAGCCCCAAGTCCACACGGCGATATTCTTCATCTTATCCTCCAGTGGAAGGAATTCATCTGGCCATGATTTGCCATTCTCGTGTTTCCATGTGCTGAAAGCGTCACCTGAGTGTCCATGAACAAGTACAAGACTACAGACCATGTCAGCAGGTGTAAAGCAATGATGGTTTGCGGATGTGAGAGCTGAGATTACGCACTTGAAACGAGGCTCGAGAGGCCCAGTGGATGACCGGATGCAATGAAGCCCTAGAGGACTTTCGTCAAGAAGTACTGTGGGTTCTATAGGTTTTGTACCCATGGTCTCCGAATGGACATCTAGCAAATGCGTATCAAGCCTTATCGCCGAAGTCGAACGTTCTCGGTGGTAGCGGAATCAGGGACGTGACCTTCGAATCACCATCAACAACGCATGGAGTAGGAAGGTGGTGAATGGAAACAAGTCATCAAGTGTTTCGATTAGAGTTGCTATCAGTCAATCAGTCAGTTGTCAGTTCATCTTTGCGGTTCAAACTGTCAGTCTGGAGGTAGTGAACTGACCTGATTGACTGCCAAGACATTTTTTAGAATCGCGAACTGAGACTGA